CCTGAAGAGCAACGCGGAAAGGTTATTAGTATCGCTGTAAATGAGATCACCGAATCTCCGTAGAGCTTGGAAAGTGGAAACACTGCTGGAATCAGTGCAGTCGACCATGAAATGCTTAAAGCATTAGACGCCCGTGTCTGTGAAACTGCAATGGTTTCGGAGAAGACACCAGCGTCGTGGAGAACGGGGATTGCTGTACCACTGTTCAAGAAAGGAGACAATGGAGTGCTCCAAATATTAGGGTATCACCTTATTGGGCTTCCTGGGAAAGGTATACGCAAAGGTACTACAAATGAGGTGTCGCGAAATGACTGACTCTAAGATAAAAGAAGATCATTGTGTCTTCTGTCCCGATTGAAGCACCGCTGACCACATATTCGCCCTGCGCCAGATGGTTGAGAAATCGTCGGAGTTCGTCTATCCGGCGTTTATGCGCTTTGTGTACCTAGAGAAATCTTATGACCTGATCCCATTAACCAGTGTGTGAGGTTTCCTGCGAACGTATCGGATTGATGGCCGGTTAGCAGCCATTCATTATTTGCCGATAGCAGCTGCCGCGTCAGAGTAAATGGCGTTAAATCGAGACCTTTCGGCGTTGGCATTGATCTCCGCAAAGGCTGCGTTCTGTGTCTATGAAGCTTTCGGTCTGAAATTACTGATTGCTGCGGACGGCAAATCACATTCACGAAGCCTCGGCACCGACTTACCTTGGCGAAGGCCTGCGGGACACGGACCAAAACTTTGATATTGGTTAGTCACTGGACTGATCACAGTTTTTTTCGCATTGTGTATAAGTAAACTGTTTTACGGTATTTTTCAATATAAATACTAGCGCACGAACGAATTACTCTGTCGGACTCTTGAAAAACTTGCATCTTCTAAACGTAATCTGTGCATTTTGTAGGTGAAGAAAGTCCAGCAATTAATAATGAAGTCAGTGGTGGAATTTCTGTCGATCTTCACTTCATATCACCTAAAAAGCAAGAGATGGGAGCAGCTTATGCAGGTAAGTATATTCTGTCATTTTTTTACCTTTGTTAAGTTATTCAGGATTGTTTGAGAGAACAAAATAAATTGGATAAGTGTCAAGAGCGTGATCGAAGCAGTACGTGCGACGGCAGAATTGCTCAGGTAGGTTATTTTGTTGAGCAGTTCAGCGGCTAAACATGCCTGATTCTCCTTGCATTACTTCTCTGAGTGGATCTCTAAGTCGAAACACATCTTTAAAGTAAGTTTAAAGTAGCTTTATGCTTCGAAATCCATTCCCAGTTTAGTCGAAGTTTTATTTTTACCGCACAACATAGTTTTTCACTAGGCCAGGTTTTGACTGTTCTGCCAAATTCTTAGCGAACCTAATAACTAAAGGTCACTTTTTATAAACGCTTTGCTTTGATCATATCAGTCCACTCTATGTTCGTGTGGGATGTTCACTTATGTTCTTGTAAAACGTTTCTTGCAACTGTCAGTTTATAGTGGATGTTAGCGTATGTGAAGCCTGTTTTTCTTCTAATCTATATTTCGAGCGTTTTGAACATCTATTCAAGAGAATCGTAGAAGGTTTCAGCAGAATCATAATATTTTCAGCCTCTAAGATTATGCGCTTGCCGAAAGTTTGTTTGAAACATTGGTGTATCGAAAAGAAATGCACATCAATCATCACCTAATTTTGAATCTGACCACTTCCTGACTACAAAAAATGGTATTGCGAGATTCCTTCTTGATTAACAGGATATATGTGCTCAACCGACAGTTTGAGAAAAAGGAAGTCGTGTTTTTCATGTAGGGATTGCAATTAGATACCCAAAAAAAATTATTGAGAGGGAGTGAAAGGACTGGCACTGAATGAACTACCCCAACAGAAGCCAAGTGCAGCCAGTTATATTTCATGCAGTTGTCTTTTCTTTTGCGTCAGAAGGATGTTGAGCTCGGTGCATATGAGTATTGCAGTTAAACCTAAGGTAAAATTAATGTAGCTGCTGAAAAAAGGCAGTGCTGTTGTCTAATGTCTATTCCTTTAGAGGCAGCGTAGATCGTCATTTAAGTAGGCCACAGCTCTGCACATTTAATCCCCTACAGTGCATCAGCGTCTGATAGTAACGTTCAGGCATTCCGCATGAGAAGTTACAGATAGTTCCCTAGTACCAGCTGGTTTAGCTTCATAAAAACGCAGCGGTCGCTGAATCTGACTATCTACCGTCACTGATGATCAGATGTTGCAGAGTTGTCCTGTTTGGCTATTCGGCGACATTACCTACAGTGCTCTCGCTGCTGTTGTAAACATAAATAGACGAATGACACCCAATGGGCAGAATATCCGCGTTTCATATCCTTGTATCCTATTTCCTCGCGAAACCCATCATAATTAGGCCGTCTTACCACGCAACGTATACACTACTATCAAGACCTAATTAATGCATGCTGACCATAGTGAAACCAGTGAATTACAAAATTTGATTCGAGTATGATAAAAGTTTACAACAATAATCACTCCAAAACATTGTTGTGAAGTTTTGCAATACGTTACTTAAATTTTTTAATTCACTGATTTTATCAGTTCCAGCAGCCTTTCCACTTTCCAAGCTTTTTACAGTTTCTGTGACTTCACTTCAAAAGACTAATGTCTGTTTCCTACTGCTCTTCAGGAGAGTTTTACTGCGGTTTCTCAGAGTTATGGGGTTCCTCAAAGTACTCTCTCCGTCGCAGAAGCATGTCTTCGTCCTCTATTAAAGGGCGTCAAAACTTGTCCTTCAGGACTCTTAGACTGCCCTTCTTTCCATCTCAGAGGCAGCGAATGACCATCCGGAATGCCTTGTTTGCTTCCTTGATATTCGACTCCACCACTTTAACGAACTTTTCCTAGGGGTCAGAGTTCTTTGGGGGTTTGGTCAGAGTTTGGGCAACTTCTTTGGCTGCTATCTTGTGCGCTTCTTCATACCGCCTGCTAGTTGAAGGATCCTTGCTTGTAGGCCTTTTCTTGAATGCTGCGTTCTTTTTATCTGCCAGTTGTGCCTCTCGTGTCTACTGATATTTATTTACATTAATACTTTCAAGCAATCATTTGTTCTCAGTCCAGCCCTTATGATGCTACGGCCCAGCTAGTAAAACGCTTGGCGCGAAACTGTTTACTTTTGCAGGTTGTGATCAGTTGAGAGCCCTGCGCCTCTTTTAACCCGAGCATTCATTGCAATGTATCGTAAGTCAGACGACATGATTATCAAATCGATCATCGACTTCTGTGCACTCGCCTTCTTATATCAGGTATAATGCTGCACGTCTCGGTGTTTATAACCGACCTTCCGTTGTTTACACCAAACTGCAACAACTTTACGCCTTATTGTTGAGGTGAACAGCGCCATTCTTTCCAGTCACGTTTTCCCACTTTACCGTGTCTTCTCTGATATGCGCGTTTAATTCGCCATTAGAATGACTGATTGTATTGCCGGCACGATATAAAAAGCACCATCTTTCTCAAGGAATGACTCATGTTCTTCTGAATTGGACAACAGTAACAAGATAAGAGCTGTATCGTGTTGGAAATTCTGTCGAATGATTGCCATTCATCCGCTAATAGGCTTCCATTCAGTGTTTCTTTCAGCCAGATTGGGTTATACATACCCAGTATGATCCTCAGCATATGTCGTGAAATCGGCATCTGAGTAGAACAGCTTCCACCCGTATGGGGTTCAGCATTTGAAAGCCCTGACATTTCGTTGTCGAGAGTCCAACTCTATTCAGTCGATACATGTTGGCCTCTTTAACTAACTCCTGTTCTTTCGCTTTGAGTAGGGAGAGGTTCCAATTTCTGACTATGAACTCGCACTGACGATGTTTCCGTGGAGCCTTAGCTGATGTGATATAATGGCATCGTGGTGTCTGTCTTTTCCTTTTATGAATGCTAAAAGGTCGGTCATTGACTAGTGTCTTTGTCTACCTCTTGTCAGTCTTCGGCAGCCGTCGTCGTGCTGCTACGTCCTTAGCTGCCAGAAATCTTGAAGTAGGTTCTGACTGCGGACTTATCGCAGTCTCTCAGTTCCCCAACATTCTGCCCTGCCCATTGTAGTCCAAGCTATTTCTGAGCCGGAGTAACGTTTGATAACGCATATGCCATGAGGGGCATGTGGCTAGATTTTACGGGCGACCTCCTTGCGGCACCCATGTTTTCTTATTTCTTATCCAGTAGAACTATAGTAAATGAAATGTTTTTTAGCAAATGCAAGTTGTGGAGGCGACGAAACAGGAGTTTGTGGAATTTCATGAAAGCTTCGTCCGTGATATGGAAAACTTTCATGATTGCCGTTGTGACTACTTTGAGCCAATCGGAAATGCTTTGCTGGAGCTTCAGGTTTGCCAGTATATCTTTGAATTGAATTCAGCGTGTTCTGACCTTTTTTTAGGTTGAGCTTATCGACTCTCTGGAAGAATTGCAGCAGAAAATGTGCAACTCTTTATGCTTGCAGCGGTCAGCTTATGAGAACCCCATGGCTTTTGGCCAAGCTTTGGAAAAAGAGTTCGATCAACTCAGAACACTTTCTATTGTCGATTCTAGTTAAATTAAGAATAAAATGTATTATTGGCCTGACAACTCTGAAATATATGCCAGAAATCTCAAAATGACATTTGAAACACTTCATTCATAATGGAGCAGTTAAACTTTTTTCAGTGATCTTAATGTTTAATGTTTTATGCTAGTTTGCTGCCGTTGTTGAAGTAAATTTTTGTCAGCAGTATACCAGCATTTTCATTTGATTCACAGAAGGTGCATACCAACGAACATGTTTCAAAATTGCTTTCTGTCATACAGTTTTACGCAAACTTTATTGTTCAGCAAGCGGATAGGGAAAATATACCACAGAACAAGGAGTCTAATTAATGACAAGGGCTAGACTTTATTGATTTGTAGATTAAAATGTGGAAAATTGGATTCTCATTCGATGGATATATTTAAGATGATTAAAGTTTAAAAATGGTGATGTAAATACCCTTTTCACAACAGCATTCTATATTGTGATGTTTGAGAACAATGGCTGTGATTCTTAGGTATGACAACAACTGCAACGATGCGCCACCCACCATCAGTGTAAGTCTCGACAAACCAACGTTTCCATTTTGCCAAAGTGCTAACTTTTGATGTTGTTGGCAGCATTTCATGTATGTCACTAATGTTAAAGCAGTATTATGTGTAACGCTTTCCTTTTTTTGCTCTTTACTCACGTGCATGAAATGCTATGAATCTGTGATGGGTAATATTAAAATGTAACTCGGCTGTCTATTATAGATATTCTTCTAGATCAGTGAAGTATAGTCGATGCAACATAAATATCTGAGGTCAATATGAGCAAAGCGTTACATGACACTAGCAAGTTTAGTCAGCTGTTATTTATTGCTACCAGACAGCTTTTATATCAACAGAATGACGAATTTGCACGTTCCACAGGAAGCATCCAGTTTCACTTGCATTTTTAACCTTTGCAGTGCGATTAGGAGAAAGGTTTCTGAGTGGCACATCCCCCGGCTTGTTGACTCGATGTTTTGATGACACTGGAAAGGAACAAGTGGGTGAATTAAGCACAATGCATTGCTCCTCAAAGGCCAACGCTAAGCGCATGCACCTATTCTCCTGGACAGTGCGATAAAGAAGATCTTCAGTTCCATTTGTTTCAGTCTGCTTAACTGATGGTTGTAAAGGTGGAAGTAAAGCGCTTGATCATCTTCGCTGAAAGACCAAACTATATTCCTGTCGCAAGCGATACAAGACAATAAGTCTGTATAAATGGGTTAAGGTTCCTTCAAAGCAGTTCGCAATTATTTCAGTTAAACCATGTCATTTGCGTTCTTTTCATTATTGCTTGTTTTTGACAAATTTACAGCACCCTAAGCGACTTCTTGCAACCTGTGCAACAATGGTCGCATTTTCACTCGTTCTTAAATTAAAGTAATTACACCTTTCACTACATTTACTTAAACATTCTCAAGACCTGTGAAGTTGATATCTTATGAACATTGGCATTTAAGTTTTGTGATGTTCTTTGTG